TTGGCTGTTTGGCAAAACGTGGGGAGAAAGCATTCCCAGGAAGTTCATGGGAGAAAGTCTTGGTGTCAAAAGGTGATATAACACTCTTGTTGGAAATTCCAGAATAAACTCATCAACTGAGATTCTTTGAGAAAGTGGATGTAGCAGCAATTACAAAAGCCAGCTGCCTCCAATCAACAAACTTCTTTTGCTTCCCCCCGCCTTCCCCCCCCCCATCCCCCGCCAGATCTGGAATAGAAAGTGAAGAAATGAAGAAATAAATAAATCACATGGCTAATATTCTGGCAAGGTTTCTGATCAGTTCCCTCTCACCTTCCTTCTTTCTTTTAATAATAACAATAATAATAATAATAATAATAATAAATTTTTATTGATATCAGAGATGAAGGGAGAGGGGGGGAGAGAGAGAGAGAGAGAGAGAGAGAGAGAGAGAGAGAGAGAGAAACATCAATGAGAGAGAGCCATCGATCGCCTGCTTCCTGCATGCCCCACACTGGGGATCAAGCCCACAATCCAGGCATGTGCCCTGACGGAATTGAACCGTGACCTCCTTGTTCATAGGCCGATGCTCAATCACTGAGCCACGCCAGCTGACCAAGGAAACTCTTAATATGACAGCCCACAAGCACATGGTCAAATCTGAGACCCTCCAAGGAGAGGAAAATTCAACCTACATGGATTCAGAATGCAATGACTCCTGCAGGGACCACCATTAACAGGACAGGACTGGCGGCCAACATCTCCAGAGAGAAAAGCCACGAAGCAGGTCCCCAAAGGTCAGACAGCACATCAGGGGCCATCAAGCTCCCCTCTGCACTGAGGCTACTCACACAGGAGAGGACTTCCCCCCAAGGTCCCCAGCCTTGGTACTTCTGGTCTAGAACCAGCTGCTATCAGAACCCAACAGCAATGGCGAGATGGACATTTCCAGCTTTAATCCCGCCTCCCCCCACCCTCACTTTATAAGGGGCTGCTCTTCTTTCTCCCACTCTACAGATGAGGAAACAGAGGCCCAGAGAGGTTAAGCAGCTTGCCCAAGGCTGCACAGCTGGTAAGACACACCGGGTGTTTATGGATACTGAGGACCCTATAGGGTACCGAGTGCACGTAGGTGCTCAGTGAACAGGGGTCTCTTCCCCTTCATAAAACAAGACAACTTCTACCCCACACGATGCAGTTAGCGATTCTGGCTACTTTGCCACTTTTGAGACGGAGAACAATTTGTTTCAAATTCTGAAGAGCTCTCTGAGCTCAGTGATCCTCCTCTTGAAGGCCGGTCTTTCGTGGACAAAGCTACCCAACTACCGGGCAAGGGTTCTGGGAAATTCACTCGACTCCCCCACCCTGACCGCGATAATAGCATTAGTAAGGCTATAGCCATAGGACCATTATATGTGGCCGCTAGACGGTTCTTCTAAGGACATAAATATTCTACCGTGTCTTTTCACCGCCCCTAAGGGTGCTTTCATTATTGTAGTTGGCTAGCCAGAAGGCACTGAAACGTTCCACTGGTCTCCTATGGGAGGCATCAAAAAAGAAATTTTTTTTTTTAGCTCCACTGTCATACTCTATATTTCTTTTTCTTTATCCTAATCGCACGTGATGCATTCTTAGGAACTGTGAGTATCCAGACAGACAAAACAAAATGTCGCGGCATCATTTTACAAATGGAAATTTCAGTCCTGTTTAATAAAAACTACCTGTACAGCTTCATCCCTATTCCTGGGCGTTGCTGGATATGGCATGTTTTGGAACTGGACTCAAGACCATTAACGATCGTGAACTTTTAATTAAAGAGTTGACTGCTTTAGGAGACAACAGGCCAGCCAGAATTCATACTCTCTGGAGAGAAAAATAAAAACATCCACAGTCACAGAGAGCCTTTCCTGGCTCGATCCCGGGCCTTCTGGTCACCCAATCACTCGGGCTGTCTTTCCCTCGGTCTTCCCAAGACAACGGCTCCTCAGTCTGGTGGGAATTTGGCTGCTTCCAGTTACATAAAATACCTTGTACTGTACCGTCTACCACTCATTGGGGGGATCTTATCCATTGCCCCTTTGCTTCAAGTTTTCAGTACTGTAAGTCACAGCGAACATGAGAGCTAGGTTCTAAAGACAGCACGAAAGGCAAAAAATGTGTCCAAACGGCCTTGGGGAGGCACCGTGGTGGAAATCAACACAACATCTCTCGTAAGCCCCGCCCCGCCAAGGGTGCTCCTGCACCGAGACCAAGGCCACTCCGTGGACCTGAGCCAGGGATGTAGGAACTAAGATGGATGGAGAGTAGCTGACTCCACACTCCAGCTGGAACACACTTTCACTGAGTGGAACAGAGGACCACACGATCCATACCATCCTCTCATTCTCCCCCTCTCTCTGTCTTCTCTCCTCTCCCTCCTTCTCCCTCCGTCTCTTCTTCCCTGCCTTCCTCTCATTCTCCCCCTCTCTCTGTCTTCTCTCCTCTCCCTCCTTCTCCCTCCGTCTCTTCTTCCATACCATCCTCTCATTCTCCCCCTCTCTCTATCTTCTCTCCTCTCCCTCCTTCTCCCTCCGTCTCTTCTTCCCTGCCTTCCTCTCATTCTCCCCCTCTCTCTATCTTCTCTCCTCTCTCTCCTTCTCCCTCCGTCTCTTCTTCCCTGCCTTCCTCTCATTCTCCCCCTCTCTCTATCTTCTCTCCTCTCTCTCCTTCTCCCTCCGTCTCTTCTGCTTCCCTGCCTTCCTCTCTCCCTCTCCCTCCCCCCCTTTCCCCAGGATGCCTGTCTCCTCCTCATTCCCCTTCATTCCTCTTCTTGGAAGCTGCTCCATGGCCCTGTAATGACCCATTCAGCTCTCTGAGCACTGAGCAGGTGGTGCCCCCAGCACCAGGTTTCCTTACGTGCTAGGGAAGATAGCATTACTGGTCCCAATTCTCCATCCCTTCTATTCTTGTGCCCTTGGCTGTGTGCCTCTTCAGTTCCTCTCACTAAAGGCTCAGAGCATACTTTCCTGTCCCATGACTTCGAGTTTGGCCATGGACTCATGGTGACCAATAGGGTGAGGTTGAGGTAAGGATGCACATTCTGAGCCCAGCTCTCAAGAGGTGTGGAATGTTTCTGCTTGCCCTCCAGCACCATTGCCATGTCAGGAGAAGAATAAGCCCAGGCCAGCCCACTGGTCCCTACAGGACAATGAAAGACACATGAACAAGAGCTGGCCTGGGTCACCTATGTCTGGCTGAGGTCAACCCCACTGTCTGCTGAACCGCAGATGCATGAGCAAGTCAGCCAAGATCCAGCTGAATCCAGCCAACCCTCAGCTGACCTGCAGGACCTTGAGAATAAGTGACTGCTCTTTCAAACCACTGAGTTTTGAGGTGGTTTGTTATGCTGCATATTCGGTGGCTACCGCTAGCTGATACATTATCGATGACTGGACCCACAGAGCAGAACTGGTTCAGACCAACACTCTGAAGAGGCAAAGTTGTGGAAGTGGAGGCAGCTTTAGGCATAAGGTAGCTTACTGATCACCAGTCTTGGGTTTTACATGGTAATATATGAAAAACACAATTCAATAGAGATTTGATCATTCATTACTGGGCAGCAAGAACATCCAGACTTTCCTAATATTTTACCTTGGAACAAGTGAGCATTCCCCCACCACAGGAAGTTCTCTATAATCCAAACTAAATGTCCAACATTTACAGTCTGCCTCAAAACAAAACAAGTCCCTATATTTTGTTTCCTGTTACTTTTTCCCTAAAACACTTTTTGGAAGACCTATTTAAAACTAAACGTAATGACCTGATAAGTTATGAAAGCTTCTTTAGATTTGGTTTCTTTAATAATCCGAGGAGGCCCTTCTTACTAATGTCAAAAATTTCCAAGACCCACGTCATCAGGTTGAAGTAATTGTCTAAGTTTGGCAAAGCATGCGGTACTTTAATCTATCACTCTTGTCCCAAGTCAAAGTAATGCTAATTAATATTTAAGCGGTTCAGGGGAGTATTTGTGTGTGTGTGTGTGTGTGTGTATTGGGGGATTACATCACCTTTCGCCCAATAAATGCAAACAAAAGGCAAAGAATCTCAGTATTTCTTTCCTTTGATGAATAATACATTTATCATCATAACTGTCCTAGTGTATTCACTGGTTCATGAGGGGATATTTCATTCCACCCACACTTAACTCTCACAGATTCAAACAAAGGACACGGTACGGCATTTCAGAGGACAACTATCAAAGCGGATGATGATTTTTGAGAAATGGTCATAAATCATATGGAAGGGCTTTCTGGCCCCAAGGCTAAAGCAATCTTTCAGAAGGAACTGTCTGGAAAGGAAACCATTCTCTGAAGTGTGGCTAAGGGATTCAAGGCCAGCGCCTTCATCCTTGGAGAAGTCTGAAATGCAGGGTTGGCGAAGAGGAAGCGGGAGGGTGTGTGCGGTTCACCTCTAGCCGGGGGACTCGGGGACTGTGGGAGGAAACCCTGAAACAACAGAGACTGGCTGCTCACTTGGACCAGGACAGCCTGCCCCCCTCCTGCCACAGAACCACTGATTGTTGTTAAAGCAGACGCCACTGCCAAGTGAGGGGAGGCGGGTAGGAAAAAGAACCTTTATATAACGATCGGTCCAATCACAGGAGTTGTCCCAAACAGTTAAATATTGGCAACTTCATATGGTTCAACTTAATACAGCGAGTAAACAGAAAATATCCGCGCCCCCCCATCCACACACACACACAAACACGAGTACTCACAGAAATTAGAAATACAGGCTAAATTGTGAGATATGTGGAATTGCAAACAAAAACCAAACTCCTCCTCCTCCTTCCCCAAATAATAGCTGTTGTTAAAACTATTGTATAACATACATTTTTTTTTTAAACCACAAAATAGCATTGCAACCCACCACTTCTATTTATCCTCTTTGATGGGGCGGAAATCTGCACATTGAGGCTTTGGGCCTGGAGTCAAGACAAAGGAACTTTCCAGAACAATGTTGTGAAAGGAGCACTGACTTACCTGGACAGCAACAATTGGCCCTGAAGCTGCAGGTCAGCGGCACAGTCCTCCGAACGGCAATTCCTTTCAAAAACGGTCTGTGAGAGACACAACAGGAGGGTTGGAACAGGAGTTAGTGGCAAGTAAGTGAGTAACAGCCCAATACCTTCTTCCCGACCAGCCGGAATTCTGCCGTGAGCCTTTCAAGCCCTTGACGCCCCGGAAGCCAGCTCCCGGTTCGGGGAGGGCTCCTTCTCAGGCTCCAGGGAAACCCACATCAGCGTGGTCTGGCCTGCTGAGGGTATTCCTTCCTGGACTCCTTTTCAGTCTGTTCGAGGGCTTCTTTGAGTAGTTTGCTCAACAAGGGTACAAGGTAGAGTCCTTCCCACCTTTGAGAATCTCTCTACGGCCCTCAGGTGTGAGTGAATAACAGTTGAGTCAGGAATCCTCAGATGATTGTCTGCTCATTCCCCTCTGTTTACCATCTTGGGGAGCCAGCAAATCTCTATTTGAGACCGTCCCTGGGGGCAGACCCTGACTCTACAGGGCCGCCATGACTTAATCCACACCATCCACATTTCAATGCGGACTCGACACCTTTTAGTTGAAGAACATAAGGCATTTAGGTCCTAACGTTATCTGGCCACGTGACTTAAAGAGCTTCAATAAAAGAGGTGAGGCGCTCTGTGCGGAGCTACCACACAGGTATGCAGAGGTTAAAACTCAGCTCTGCTTCCTGGGCTGGGCCTCGCTCTCCCTCTCAGAATCTTTCTTCCCCTCCAACTGAGCCAACATCTGGAAGACACATGGAGGAAGGTCATTAAATTATCTTAAACAAAAGTATTAATCAGGAGAAGGAGAATAAGCAAGGCTCACTCTCCCACAATTTTTCTCAGGCTCCCGGACAATCTTCCCAGTATTTTCCTTGCATTTTAATTTCAACCAAAGAATCGCCTGGTTAAAACGAAAATAATGACACCCCTCCCCTCGCCCCCCCGAATCCCTCCCTATTGAGTCCTGCTCTCCAGGGTCAACCAGTATTATCCATGTCCACTTTGTGTTTCATTTGGTGATTATGTCCTTATCTCTAAAAAAATATGCGGGTGCTACCACTTCTTGATTGATCAGATTTGGACATTATCGGAGAGAATTCCTGCCAGGATAGACAAGTTATCTCACTTCCACAAAGGACCCTCCCACCCACCTTTCCTAATTTTAACAGGCAAATCATTACCCTTAGCGACTCCACTGCAGTGACTCTCAAGCATGACTGCAGCAGAATTACCTGCTCAGCTGGTTAAAACACAGGTTGCTGGGACACACCCATGAACATCTAATCCAATGGGTCAGGGGTGGGGCCCGAGAACGTTCATTTCTCAGAAGATCCCAAGTGCCCGCACTTTGAGCAGCACTGCTCTGCTGGTGACCTCTGCAGTTTTAAGGAATAAACAACTATCTCTTGTTTCACCAAGTTTTACAATACCTCTTGGCTCACCAATTTAGAACATTAAGATATTGAGAGAACTTCTGTAATTCTAATTTTACCTCTACACAGTCAACTTTAATGACATTTACACTCCATCCTATAACCATTGTCTTCTAATCCTTCTACTACATTTTCGGCTCTGCAACCATATTATTCATTTTCAAGAACGCTTTCCTTATTCTCTGGGTGGAATATATTCTTAAATCTCTTTATGTGTATTACATAGTGTTTAGGTTGGTTTTAAATTTTGTATAATCACTTCTATTCCCTAAATAGTTTCTTTCCTTCTAATCAGTTATTCTGCGGGTTTATTTCTTTCATATAACATTTCTCCCCAATCTCAGGTTTCCTTGGTTGTTCATTCATATTTAAGAACAGGTAACAGGGCGGATTGGAAACTGAGGGAGTGTTTGGGCGGATGGTGGGAGCGGAAGCTAGCGCATGCCTTTGGAGAAATGCCAGAAGTAAGGCTGATCCTCTGGGAAACCACACTATCTCGCAAGCAGTTTATTCAATTCTGGTTTTGTTTTTTTATTAAAGCCTCACCTGAGGACATGCTTAGAGAGAGGAAGGGAGAAGGAGAGAGAGGAAAGCGGGGGAGGGGGGTGGTAATTGGGAAAGATTGATCAATTGCCTTCCGTATCCTCCCCAACCGGGGATCAAACCGTCAACCTTTTAGTGCATGGGACGCCGCTCAACCAACTGAGCCACTCCGGATTCAGTTCTTTAGAAAAGAAAATGCCTAGTTGCTGCTATTCTGCATGTGGGGGCATGGGGAGGGGTGGAAAGCCAACCCTTCCACATACCAACCTTCACTCAACAGCCCTTCCCTGCTTTCAGCCCCATCCTACTGGCCTGGCCGTGGCTGCAGCCTCGCTGGGTGCACGGGTGGGTCGACAGGCACCCAGCCTCTGTGTGTGGTGCAAGGTTCACCCACCGACACGCTCCCATCTTATTTACTCACTAAAAAAAATGACAGACTTCCTCACCGACTGATTCCCCTCCCCCTGCAGTATTCCTTCACCTCCCTGTTCGGATTCACTCATTCATACTCGTCCCAATGGGTCTCAGAAAGCACAGACATAGATACCTATGCTTGGCCGACCATCTTGCACCAGAAGTGTCCAAGAATACCATTTTCATACTGATCTGTCTCTGTCCCCGGCTTTGATGAGGATGCTTAACTCCAAAGATGCCGGGAGGGGCTGTGAGATGCTCTTCCCTGAAGGCCTGCTCCGAGCCACTGAGGGATCTGGCCAATGAGAGCTGGGTTCCCCGGGGGAAGGTAAGCCCAGGGGAGCAAGATGCTGGACAGAGTAGATGGCACCTCACTGGGGTCATTTCAGAGACATAACAAGCACCCTGTACCCTGGAATGATTCCCCTGAGTTTGGACCACTCCTGTAACACAGGTTTATTAGGCCAGCGGGATTCCACCTCCGAGAGCAGAGTAATACTAGGACTAGGGACTAGTTACCTAGAAATTAACTCTGACTTCCTGTTGGGAGGTGACACCAAGCTCTACACCTTGGTCAAGGTGAAGTCATCAGCTTCCTGCCCTGCCTCTTTATCTTGTTTTGCTCTCCTCTTCTCCTCACCTTCTTCATGCCTCTCCTTCACCCCAACTCTCCGACTCTGCCCCACCCCCACCTAAGCCCCAGTGTCCTCCTGGTCTCTCCCCTCCATCTCCCAGAACCTGCCCCAAGTATCAATGACCAGCAGGACATACTGGCCACCTCCAGGGCACTTGTGTTTTGAAAGAAGTTCATGTTTGAATTCAAAACAAGCATTCAAAAGGGCGCTGTCGCCAACAGGCTGTGGGTATACGGGCGGTGGGCACTGCGAGCCCTGCCCAGTTCCCTTCCTAGCTGCTGCCCCCCAAACCCCCAGCGGATGGGAGTGTGGGCAGCAAGTGGCGCCCATCTGCATGCTTCTCCAGAGCCCTGTCCTCAGCTGAGGGGGCCTCCTTCAAGGAGGGTTCCACTCCGCCACCACCCCCATTGGCGGCCAGCCAGTGGCTGACTAACAGGGGTAACCGAGGGCCAGCCCCTTGCCTCAAGCAGAGGACAGCTCCGGTGTAATGTATGTTCCAGAGTTTCCCACCTCGGGCCAAGGCTAGACTTGAGCTGAAGCCACATCCTCACTCAGTCCCTTCCCCTTCCCTCATTCCCTCACAGTTCCTCCCATAGCCTCACTAGACCAGATGCTCCCCAATCCGTCTTGGGCTCTGTTTCTGGGGAACCCAACCCAAGACCACATGGGAGAGACACTGGGAGGAAAATAGGATGCCTTTAAAAAATCACCACTTAACTGGACACCCGGCCGGACATCTCGAACCCCAAACACCTCTCTGTGGTTCTGTGTACAACCCCTAATATGCAGAGTGTGGCCCAATGGTCTGCGTGCTTTCCCACCAAGCTCAGCGCAGCCAGAAGAACCGTGGAGGGTGGGCCGGCGGGTGGTTCCACAGCTTGGCCCCCACCCGGTGCAGGAGTCTGGTTGAGCCCCAAAGGCAGTTTTGTCTGACGTTCCCCAGGCCCTGGGCCAGAGGCAACGTTGGGTGTTAAAGAAAGATTTAAAACAAGCTGGCATCACAGAGTCCTTGCATGCTTCCTGCTCAGTAGTCAGCCCTGCACATCTCAGATGGCTCAGGGCAGGCCGGCCAGTGCTGCTGCGTGCAGTGAGCTCGCAGGCTCATCGGGCTTCATGTGGCCACATCACTCAGAAGCTCCTCCACCCAACGGCACATCGTGGAATCCGATGAGCGTCGCACGGGGTGGGTGGCCCCCCTGCACTCACGGGCGCTGGCTCCCAGAGACACCTGGGTCGGGCATTTTTAATCCAACCACCAATTCTAGCAAGACGAGGTTCTCCCTTCTCCACCCCACTCGCTCCCCACCAGTAAAACACGAATGGAGCCCCTACTGTGTGCCTATCTGAGCTCTGGAAACAGTCTAGTTCAGGGGCCAGGGGGTCAGCTCATGACCTCTAAGGGATTATAGTTTCCTAACTGCCTGAGAACAGCCTCAATGCGTTTCCAACCACGCGGTTGTGAGAAGCAACACCCCAAATCACAAATTTCATCTGTTTGCCGATGAGGAAAGGGAGGCCCAGAGAGGGGGGTGTGCCTTGGCCTCGGTCCTGTCCCCCAGGCAGCCAGGGGGACATAGACCTGTCACATAGACCTGCCCCCTGGGCTCCCGGTTGTGGGCTTTGAGGTTCTGACCTGGTTCTTCTGGGCGATCTTCTGTCCCTTCTTCCAGCGCAGCACGGGTGTCAGAGCCGGCAGTTCCCGCTCCTCCTCTCCGCTCACATGCGGCCCCAGGCTGTAGGCGGCTTCGAACACGATGGGGCTGATGACGTCCTGCACCCTCCGCTGCAACAATAAACACAACACACCCGTGAGCGGTGAAGCCGGCTGGCATTTGCGGAGCGTTTCACGGTTTACAAAGGCCTTCCTCGTGGCCTGCCCCTTGGGACCCTCACCACCGCCGCTGTGAGGTGGGATTTCACTGTCTTCACATTTGTGATGGGGTCACTGCGGCCCAGAACAATGAAGGTCTTGTCCAGGGTCTCTCTGCTAACGAGCGGGGGCCCCTCCACTCTACCGTGCTTGGCGCGCAGTCACCGTCTCCTGAGCATATGGAAGGCATTACCTTACTCATCTTCCAAGCATCCCTGGAGCTGGCAGCATGGGCGGGCGGGGAGCATCTGCCCGCGCCCTGCAGCGCTCGCCCCTCGCGTCCCTGCTGTCTGGCTGATCAAAGCTCCTCTGAGTCGAGATAAATACGGATTCTCCCCAGAGCTAGTCCTCAATGGAGCTGGAAGAAAAGCCTGACTTCGGGCCTGTGTTCTTTCCCTGGGAGCCCAAGGACATTAGGAGCCCAGGGAATGCGAGGTTGATAGTCACGTAAGGAAAGCAGAGGCAGGGAAGAGAGGAAAGCAGACATACAGTGGACACCTATGAGAGGCCAAGCACGGTGCTGGGTGTTCTAGAATGATGAGCGACACGCCCAAACCCTGTGAGCTAGGGCTCATTATCCTCCGTCTATACTAATAAATGGGTAATATGCTAATTAGACCAGACATCTTCTGGATGTCCTTCCAGACAAAGCCACAGTGGCAGGGCTGAGGCAGAGGCAGTCAGGGGCGATCAGACCAACAGGGGAGCCGTTAGGGGCATCAGGCAGGCAGGCAGGCAGGTGAGCGGTTAGGAACCAGTGGTCCCGGATTGTGAGAGGGATGTCTGACTGCCGGTTTAGGCCCGACCTAAACTGGCAGTCAGACATCCCCCGACGGGTCCCGGATTGGAGAGAGTACAGGCTGGGCTGAGGGACACCCCTCCTCCCCCCCACCCCCCCGTGCACGAATTTTGTACACCAGGCCGTTAGTGGTACAATAAAAGGGAAATAAAGGTACAAGGCTAGGTGCCCAGGGCCCAAGGCTAACAGGGGTTTTGAATCACAGCTGTTGAACCCTGGAGTTCCTGGCCTTTCTGTACAAGGTGCCCCCAGGCTCCCAAGTTAGAGTCTAAGGAGGAGGAAAGGGTAGGAGTCCTACTTTCTGGGCCAGGATGCTCTGTGGGAGGCAGGTGTCCAGGTGGAGCAGAGCAAGTCTGAGCAGGGTACCAAGAAGCCAAGTCCCCATTGCTCGTCACTCACGGGAGAGACGGGGGGTGGGGAGTGGCCCACTCAGGGTGTGAGAGGAGACCTGAGCTAGCAGGTGGGGAAATCAGACTGATTCTTAAAACCTGAGGCTGAACAACTTGCTCTAGCTGGTGTTGCCCAGTGGTTAGAGTGTCGCCCACCCACCAAAGTGTTGCAGGTTTGATTCCCGGGAAAGGGTATGTACCTAGGTTGCAGGTTCGACCCCCACCTTAGTCGGGGTGTGTGTGGGAGGCAAGCAATTCATGTGTCTCTCTCACATCCATGTTTCTCTCTATGCCCCTCCCTCCCTTCCACTCTCAAAAAAATCAATGGAAAAAATATCCTCGGGTGAGAATTAGCAACAAAAAACAAACAAACAAAAAACTTTCCTTGAAGTCCACAGAATATTATTTTAAAACTAGAGGCCTGGTGCATGAAATTCATGCATGGAGGTGGTGGGGTCCCTCAGCCCAGCCTGCACCCTCTCACAATCTGGGACCCCTCAAGGGATGTCTGACTGCTAGTTTAGGGGGATCGGGCCTAAACTGGCAGTTGGATATCCCTCTTACAATCTGGGACTGCTTCGCCCAGGCCGGCTGCCAGCACCCGGGACCCTGGGCAGCTTCGCTCAGGCCCTGGCTTTGTCAGGAAGGACGTTCGGAATGATGTCCGGTCTAATTAGCATATTACCCTTTTATTAGTATAGATGGTCCAACCACTCTAGTTTCTAACATTACCCTAATGTTTCTAATGTGCCGCCACTCCAGCCTCTTCAGCCACGCCTGCCGTGAGGGAGACTCCAGGCAGGGCTGGCTCATTTGGAATGAGTTCTGACATCCGGGGCTGGGGAGGCTATGCTCTGGCTCTGATCTCACGAACCTGTTTTAACTAAGAGTCTGAAAAACAGCTTCTTATTACATGTCCCAGTAGCTCTGGCAGAAGGGATGCAAACCGCACGGGGCCCTGGGCGGAGGCGAAGTGGGGGCAGCAATTAGAAACAAGCCAACACCCCATAGGACAGCCCACCTCCCAGCTACCAAGGAAAAGCAGTGGCCACAGTTCGTGGTTTCCTCCCCATTTCGGGATGGGCAGCTTCCCCGGGCTCGGCACTGCAATTAAGCGGGGGAACTCCCGAGGGGAGAGAAGGAGCTTGGGGTTCTGGCACAGAGTGTAATTGCTGAAGTTTTACTGCTAGGGGGAAAAAAATCACCACTACAAACTGAAGCTTCTAACGTCGAATACAACTTCTCCCGGCAGGCTGAGAGGCCATGGGAGCTCCTGGTTTGCAAACTGAAGGGCCCGGCTGGAGAACTCGCAGCTGGCGGCTGGGTCTGCGGCGGCCGAGGTTGTACAGGGAACTTCACATATGTTCCTTGTGAGGTTTACTGGGTGCTCACTTTATGCCAGGCAGCGGGCGGGGCCCGAGGGACACAGAGACGGAGGGCTTTCGGGAGAAACAGGCGAGCAGTGACAATCCAGCGCCACGTGCACAAGGGCAGGGCGGCTTTGGGGGCACAAAGGAGGGACACCTGATCTGGATGGAGGGTTGGCAGGCTTCCCAGGGGAGGTGTCCCGGGCTCGGATATATGACAGGAGGCTATTAGAGAGCAGACGGGAGGCATAGGAGGGCCTCGCAGGGTAGAAGTGGCCTGCGGTGTCCAGGAGCTTGCATGTGGTCCCCAAAGGGGGTAACGTTGGGCCTGTGGGCAGGAATGAGGGGAGAGGAGGCTGAAGCAGAGACCAGATCTCAGGGGACGTACAGGTTGGAGTCACCTGGCTGAAGGCAACTCAGGTGAAGTTCCTCTGGAGGGTCAACCACCTCTCACCCCTCTCCCCTCCCCCCCCCCCCCCGCCCATACACACACCTGTCATCCTGGGCCCTCACCTGAGTGCTGTGTTGTCCTGGCCGCTGCCGCCACCCACCCCTCTTGCAGACCAGGGAACCTTGACAGGTGGGTACGAGCAGCATCAAATCACAAGGCCCCGCCACCTGGCCACAGGGAGCTCCGCACGGCTACCGGAGGGAAACGCCCAGGAGGACGAGATGCCAGGCCTCACTCCGCAACCCTGACTAAGCAGCACCTGAGCGCCCTGGGCCCCGACCAGCCCCGTGATCGAGAACCTGCCTCCCCGCCGCTCTTCTCCAAGAAACGAAGGGTTTTCACCTTCCTGAGCTAACTGAGCAGCTACAGTGGGAACAAGATGCAGACAGGAAGGGCTGACCTCACTTTAAGTGGGCCAGTCACACAGAGGCCAGCAAGTATGCCACTGGCATGAAGCCAGATTGCTGGTTTGGAGAAACACACACACACACACACACGCACGCACACACACACACCTCTAAGTGTTGGTTTGGTTCGTTTTTTTAAAGAGGCCTCAGTATTTTTTCGTTTTCCACACGTGATGTGTGTGTGTGTGTGTGTGTGTGTGTCCCTTCCAACCTGTATCATCGCTCACTATTTCTCTGCTCTCCACACCCACCTCTGTTTCTCCTACGATCACCTTGCTGGCACGCCTAAAAGTGAGACATCTTCAGAAGTGACATGCCTTTTCCTTTCTCTCTATGGCCAGAGTGATTAGAATGGCGGTTAAAATGTTACGGACGCATTTTAAAATGCCCATAAGTTTGAAGATTTGTTAAGAGCAAACGGAGGAGTCTGCATTTCTGGTACTGAAAGAACAACCCTGAAGACAGACGCTCCCAGAACGACCAGGAAAGCTGGCGTGCCCCCGATGTAACATACAGACGATGTATCATAGAACTGCACACTTGAAACCTACATAATGGTACTAACCAGTAAACTTAATTACAGAAATTAAAAAGTCTCGGAAGCTGGGCTCCATCTTAGCATCGAAGAATACCTTTATTGTGAGGATGTTTCCCACCTGGAACCCCTGCCCGAACCCCTGCCATTCCATCGTGAGCAACGTGGGAAGTGAGGAAACGCGGGGCTCGCGTGGGCGAGCCAGTTCCCTGGTGATAACTGACTGCGGGGCCAGATCTCAGCCCTGCCTTGCGCTCGTGTCTTGTGGACAATTCTGAGCATCCTCTTGTCTGCAAGAGGGGTGGGTGGCAGCAGCGGCCAGGACACCACAGAACACAGCACTCAGGTGAGGGCCCAGGATGACAGGTGTGTGTATGGGGGGGGGGGGGAGAGGTGGTTGACCCTCCAGAGGACCTTTACCTGGGTTGCCTTCAGCCAGGCATCATGTTAGGCAGAGGGAAGCAAAGAGAAGGGAGAGGTGCAGGCAGGAGGGCGTGAGCAAGAAGATGCAGAGGTGCCCATTCAAGAACGGAGGGACCTTGATGAGAGGGAATTGCTTCTGACCCAGACGGGGCTAGGAGTGGAGTGTCAAGTCCCTGGATAGCAGGTGGCCCTGGGAGAACAACTAGAAGTTCCGCAGGCTGATGGGGGGGCTGGAATGAGGGCCGAGGTGAATAGACAACTGTTTGTCTGAGGCCTGGGTGCAACAGACAAGGTGGAGATGAGGGACTTCGACACCAGACAGTCCTAGGTCTGACGCATCCCAGATGCATCACTTAGAAACCATGTGACATTGGTCACTTAACCTCTTGGAACCTGCTTTCTCAGATTGGAGACGGTTGGACAGAACCAAGCTTTGGTGACTGTTGTGAAGATGAGAGATGACAGATGTCAAGCACCTTGGAGAGCTCCTGGTACACAGGAAAGTTAGCTGCATCATCCTCATCATCGTCCATCATCATCAT